TGGGGGCAGAGGAAGTCGGCAGGGGCGAGGGGAAGGGCCCCGGCGGGTTGGTACCTGGCTACAAGGCAAGGAAGCGAAGGGCGCAATACAAGCCCGTTTTCAGAGTGGGGAGAAGTAACTAGGAGGGGTGTAACCAGTTACTAGGACCGATGAGGTGCTGGGCTGCGGCTGCCGGTGGCAATAGGAGGCCCCCAGCCCCAGGGATGGGGCTGCCACTGGCTCCCACTGCTGCAGGAAGGGGGGGAGGTTGCCAGGCACTGGTTAACCCGTATTGCGAAGGGCGCAATACAAGCCCGTTTTCAGAGTGGGGAGAAGTAACTAGGAGGGGTGTAACCAGTTACTAGGACCGATGAGGTGCTGGGCTGCGGCTGCCGGTGGCAATAGGAGGCCCCCAGCCCCAGGGATGGGGCTGCCACTGGCTCCCACTGCTGCAGGAAGGGGGGGAGGTTGCCAGGCACTGGTTAACCCGTATTGCATCACCCAGTAAGGGCGATGCTTACTAGCTAACTGTTCGCCTCTCTAGTGTCTTGTCAATGTCATTTCTGTACTTAATGTTCTGAATAGCACTAGTGGGAGAGGAGGCTGGCTGGTTTTTGTTCTACTGCGTCCTGAGAGAGCTCAGTGCCATCTCCTCCTAGTTCCTATGAAGTTGTTGGAGCTCAGTGACAGCATACATTTTAGAGGAACCACATGGTAGCTGTAAGTTATCCTGGCGTCAGACCTGTAGAGCAGTGTTTCTCAAACTGTGCTCCAGGGCTCCACGAGACAGCTCCAGGGGCTTCGCAAGGTAAACAAACTGAAAACATCGATAGGTACAACACATACGATCAGTGGACCGCTGGGGCTCCACATAAATTTTTACGCATGTAAAGGGCTCCGGAGCCCAAAAAGTTTGAGAACTGCTGCTGTAGAGCAAACAGGTGACATTTCCTCCTGCATTTCCAGCAGAATACTGCAAGTAGTTCTCTAGTCTCTGTGCATTTCAGCTTGTCAGAACCCTCTCAACAAATCAAGTAGCGGTGTAGTCATTTATATAATTATCACAAAGCCAAACAGAGCATCCGTGTTTCCACTACGGAAAACAACTAATCTTGTGTGATGTGTTAGAATTGTGGGTTCTCTCCAGTTGGAATCAAAGGTGTATGATTAAAAATGTCTTCAATGTCCTTTCTTAACTGTTTAAAATGTGTAATCAAATTAAGTGAGTTGGATTTTTTTTTTTAAGTCACCTGGAGGAATTGCAACGCCCTCAGTTTATGGTCAGCTTTTAGCTCTATACCTGCTGCACAATGACATGTAAGTAGCTATTATTGTCACCCTAAACATTTAAAAAACTTCAGTATCATCTTAGAATTTGACCTATAATTGTCAGCACTGTTTAAAAAAGATTGTGTTGCTAATTGTTTGGTTTTTAAAAGTGCATTTATCTAGTACATGTATGAAAAACAGCAAATTTATAGATAAACTAATGACATTGTAGACAACAAATAGTCTGATAGGACTTTAAAGACTAACAAACATGTACATAAAATTCCAGTAGTCTGGCATCCAATTGTACGGCACTCCCGATAGTACGGCATCAAAATGGCAAGAGCCTAGTGAGTGAGCTTTGGCAAAAAACAAGTCACAAGGCAACAGCTGAACCAAGCAAAACCAGACAGGACTGAGTCAGTCTGCCACTGGCATTGTGTGACGCTGGACAGTGCTTGTGCTACAATAAAAAGGGTTAAAAACACTATATACAGTATATTGTGTGTGTGTGTGTGTGTGTGTGTGTGTGTGTAAATATAAATAAATAAAAAACCATTTTATAGTACCACCTGATAGTCCGGCATATCCGATAATCCGGCACCACCTAGGTCCCAAGGGTTCCAGATTATCGGAAGTCTACTGTAGATGGTATCAGAAGTGGGCTGTGCCCACGAAAGCACATGATACCATCTACGTGTTTTGTTAGTCTTTAAAGTGCTGCCAGTCCATTTGTTGTTTTTTAAGTTTATCCTGTACAGACGAACTTGGCTATCACTCTGAAGCTATTGTAGATCTCATAATTCTCTCTTTTCAGCTTGATGATGATGATGATAATAAATGCTATTTCCCAGTAAATTCTTTTTCTCTTTTCACCTGCTCCTTCTTGAAAGCCTGGGAAATCAGACGGATCTTGTAGTGTTCATCTTCCTTGGCTGTGCTGGCTCATGATTGGTAGCTTTCCAGAGTCAGTGGCCAGATCTTTGTTGACATGGCCTCTTTTCATATTCTTTGCAATTAAACCAGAGAAGTTACCTTCTCAAGTACCCTACCTATGGTCTCATGCAAGGAAAGAATTAGCTCCTCACGCAGACGTTACCCGGTTCAGTTATGGCTTTATATTGTATTTGGAAACAGTTTGGCAGCTGGTGCAGATCAGGAAGCACAGCTTGTAATTTGCCTTCTTCTGGGAGAGGCTGTATGCTATGCTAGCTGAAGATTCCAAATAATCTGCCAGCGTAGTTCAATGTAATGTGAATTACTGTGATCTGTTCTGGAGATGAGTGTGGAAAACTAGCATAGTCCCCATAATAAAGAAAAGATCTCAATCTTCTAGACAATTGTGAATGAAAAAATATTTTTGACCACTACTGGTTACCTAAATATTAGAGGCAATTGGGAGGAAACGAGATCCCCCTGCAGGCTGCAGAGCTGAATAAGCAACTGGTAGGCACTCACAGAAACTGAAAACTAACTGCTACTTTTGATTGTTTTGATGCCTATTCATCAAACAGTAATTTTTTGTCTTGCCTCTGTTACCAACCAGCTGACCCAGAAAGTCTCAATTTGGTTAACACAGGATGAGTTGCTTAATCAGAGTCTTAAATTTGAAAGACTGTATTTAAACAGGGCCTATTTCTTACATTGGTTACACTTCAATCATATTTAATACTTTCTTAATGCTACTGGAAAATCCTGGGAGCTTTTTCAAATGGCCGACAATATAGATACCATCCAAAAGTCTTTGTTTTTCAGCCTTCCACTGTGTACATATGTAATATCACTACATTGATCTGTATTTTTCCTAAGGGTGCATAAGCACAATTAGGAATAATCCTGCTTTCAGACTTTTGAAAGCATTGGTCACATATACAGTTTTAACATTTTAAGAAATCAGCCTCTACCCATGGACAGCCGAGAGTTAGATCAGAAATTGCGTTATTTCCCTTTGCTTACAATGGAAAGTCAGAGAAATATCTTCAATCATTGTGTTTACCATGTGGATAAATGATATCAGCAGGGCTCGACAAATAATACAATCTACTCGCCCATGGCGAGTAGATTGTATTAACCCTGAAGAGCCGGGTTCGGGCAATCTGCGCGTGCGCAGAACGATCTGCACATGTGGTTCGGCGAGCCCTGGATATCAGCATTCTCACCGTTCACAGGAGAGGAGGGTCAGCACAAACTTTTCAGTTAACAGGCTTATAAGTTTTAGTGGGCACTCTAATAAGAAGACATTTTTTTACCTATATTACCAAATATCATCTTGGATCTTTGGGTTGTGCATTTTACATCTTATTTATTTCTTGCTGCTTGTATTTCATTGGGCTGGATAATGATAACAGACTTCTATTTCTCTTTGATGTTATCACAGGCTGCTGTTTGTGTTCACAACATTGCAGAGGAATGTTTTCATTAAACTTCAGTGTCATGACATTCTATCAATTTAGGCTTTGCTAACCCCACATCACTTCATCTGTATCTGACCTACACTGATCCCTTGAAATGTGGGCTTATGGATTCCAATAACATTCCTATTTGAACCTTGTTGTTTCTTTTTAAACTTAATACATGGGCATTTTTTCCTAAGTTATTGCTACGTGACAAATGTCAAAACTTATGTTTTCAAGGCCAAAGTATGAACTTCATATGATCTTTATGGTATCTTTGAACCATACTGGCTTGCAATATGTCCTCTTATTGCAACTATTTGAAAATGACTTTTATAGTTGAATTTTGTATCTCGCTTGATGTAAAACCATTGTATAGCAGATTTTTAGGCATTGAGAGGACATTGTGGATACATAGCATAAGTCAGTGTGTTAGGTTTCTAAACGCTTGATTTAATCACTTCATTAAGTGTAGCATTTGCATCTGATGATACCGTTAATACTATTGTCTTTGCATAGGTTTCGACCAATAAATATTTGACAAACGTAATTGTTAAAGTATTAACTGAGCTTTGTTTTTTTGTTAGGAATAATGCACGATATCTTTGGAAAAGAATTCCTCCTGCTATTAAATCTGTAAGTATGCCTTTCAGTGCAATTTAAGACTGTGCTCCATTCTGTATGTTTAGATGTAAGGGTTTTTCCAAATGTAGCATTTAACATAAATCTCTGCTTTTGGTCTGAAATGTGTGGTTGGTGAATGGCTTAGGCTCATGGTTTTGAGCTCTTCAACCTCTTTGCCAGCAGATGGCACTGACAAGGCATATTAGTCTGTTCCCTCTACTCCTGGAAATCTTCATCGGTCTGCTGCTGCAAAATGTTCTCTTCTGGCTTACTTCCTTTCCAAAATAGTTAGCCTTTCAGGCCACCACCTCAAAATACAGTGGAGATCAGCAATAGTTGTTATTAAAAATCTAGTTCCTCATGACAAAAATTGCCACTGGCAGAAAGAAGAAAAAGTCCCTATTCTGAGTACTGCCAGACATTAAAAGTCAGGCAGATACATGCTGCAGTTGATTCATAATCTCAGCCACCTTTTCCAAAGGTTGAAGTGATGTCTGGGAACACTTTCTGTCACTGTTGGAAGGAGGAGGCTGATAACATCACTGGTTCTTATTTATAATTGTATTTACATGTCAATGTGTCCTCTTCCTGGCATGAATTTCAGAAGTTTCTGCCTGACTTACCACCTAGGCTATAAATTACTGTTCTCCCTGTGATACACTGGAATGAATGAGAGCACTAAGAGAAACATCTCAGAAAAATGTTTAATTTTCCCCTTCCTCTTTGCTCTTCTTAGTACTGTGGTTCTCAACTGGTGGTCCATGGTGACTTTTTCAGTGGTCGACAGGAACATTGTCCAAAGTCACACAGCATGGGTAGGCACCAAAAATCTGTTAGTAAGAAATACATTTCAAACCAAAATGTTTGTTGTCTGCTCTTTTTTATCATGTCTCAAAAAGGAGGTGGTCCATGAAAATTTTTTGCTTGGCCTAGTGGTCTGTGGACTGAAACGAGTTGAGAACCACTGTCTTAGTATAATGAATGGACTTAAAGTAAAACCACCAACAGGAACTAAGCTGAGCATTTTGGGTCTCATGGTTACAGTGATTTATAAGTACCAGAAATGATATTGGAGATAACGTGGCCACGAGCCATACTGACACGTCATTCCAAAGTATGATTTAGTAACTCTTAGTATCTAGGTTTCTAGATTACAGGTAAATACTGAAAGCCCAGAACTGCTGAATCCATAGTGTAGATTTACTGTCATACCTGGCTTGAATTAGAACCACCTTTTGAGATGAAACAAAAGTCCCTGTCTCCACTTGTTAACAAGGAGGTACTAGTAATTATCCCAGCAGCCTTTGCATTCTCCTCTGACCAGACTCATGGGAGGTGCTTTTCACAATCCTCATGTGCTTTTGTTATTTGAAACAAAATTGATTCTCATTCCTGTTGGACATTTCCAAGAGGTGGGTTGGTCTGTCTTTTTATCCACACTGCTGCCCGTTACTATTCTGTACTGTAGCTATTAGTGGCACATTGCTCTGGAGGCTAATCAGCAAGATCCACTTTCTTGGCCACACAGAAGAATCTTTATTAATTGCTTCCTGCATTTACACAGATGGTTTCTAACTTTATTGCTTTGTTTATATTTGTTAGCATGTTTCTCTCTTTGTACCCTAAATCATCAAAGACCACCTTGGAAAAGTGTGGTATAATTTTGATGTGTATGTTCCTGGCTCCCTTCTGCATTACATTTTTGGGAGGTGAAGGGTAGGGATGTGAAAGGTAAACAGGGAAGCATCACCCTTAAAGGGTAATGCTTAACAGTGCTGGTTAACCAGTGGGGGTTGGAACAGCTCCCCACCTGTCTCCTCCAGTCTCCACAAGACCCACTGCGGACTGGGGCTGTGCCGGGTATCTGGAGAAAACCCCTGTCCATGGTAGTCCTGAGATGGGCCACAGGCAGGGGCTATTCCAGCAGTGAGGGGGCGTTCCAACTTCAAATTTAACTGGTTAACCAATTACACGGGATTTTTCATCCCTAGTGACGGGGAGGGGTGTTGAAAGATGAAATAGGCAAATAACGTGATACCTGCGTATTTCTTATCTTTGCAGCATTAGCGGCTTTGTCAGTGTAAAAATAATAGATTTGTGTGAACTGGATTGTCACTCTAACGCCAGTATCAGTGATGTATGCGTTACCATACTATTTGAATCTTAAACTCAAGGTTTACTGTGGCGTTTCATCCTAACTGTTACTGTGATGCAGATTTATTCCGAAAGGAATATCTGTACTTTCAGCAAAATGCAATTTGTGGTGGAGTGGTTATGGCAACATATGTGACTTTTTTGGTCGATTGCTTTGTGTCTCTAGGCAAATTCTGAGCTCGGTGGGATTTGGTCAGTAGGACAAAGAATTTGGCAGAGAGATTTTCCAGGAATCTACACAACAATCGGTGCACATCAGTGGTCAGAGAGTATTCAACCAATCATGGAGGCACTGAGAGGTACTAAAATTACTTCTTTGAAAAATATAACACAGCCGAAGGGCAGAGAAGTCCAATTTGCAGGGCTCGATGACCGTGGCGAAAACCCACTTGCCAGCCCCGCACCGTGCATGCGCCAGACCCGCACCGTGCATGCGCCAGACCCGCACTACGCATGCCGCTCACCGCCAGTGAACGGGGCAACCAGCTGAAATCTACTTGCCACAGGCAAGTAGATAAACGGATTTGTCGAGCCCTGCCAATTTGAATTTGTTTTGTTGGGGATACAGGACAGTATGCTACCATTACTCTTGATCAAGAGTCTCTGGGAGTTCTATGAGATTGTTTTGACTTGGATTTTTAGTATGTTTATTTGCTGTGGAAACAAGCTTGCTTAGATCACAAATTCCATGAGGCAAAGGCATTTAACTAGGCACTTTGACAATTCTTGATAAATAGAAATAAGTTGAGTTAAATGACTTGTGTTTTCTGCAGTAACTGGGCAAATTCATGTGTGTGTTTAAGTAGATCAGTGAATATTGAAAAATCTGAATCTTGAACATTTTGAAGAAATGTCTTTAACTGTGTAAATTATTTATGATACCTGTTGGTTTCATACACTCAAAATATTTATAGTACTGTTTATAGTACTCCCTGATATTTCCTTTGAAAACAAATGTTTGCCCTGACTCTGCAGTGCTCTATGTGCAAGTAAAATCTCTGCTTATGTAGAACTCATTGCAGAGCTGGGCCTAGTTTTGTTTTTCAAATGAAATATTAATCTGATTATAAACAGAACATTTCCAGTGTAGAGAACCTACTGGTTTCACAAATAACTTCCAGGTATAAAGAAATGTCTTCAAAATGTTCAAGATTTTTTCAGTATTCAATATGTTTGTTGGCTTTTAGCAATATTACCTTGGTTTAACATTATCCTGTTTAAAGGGAAAAAGTATGTTAACAATTTGGGGATGAGATGAAAGTGTTTATTTCAGATTCAGAAACTAGGCAAGTACAGGCAGTCCCCGGGTTACGTACAAGATAGGGACTGTAGGTTTGTTCTTAAGTTGAATTTGTATGTAAGTCGGAACTGGTACATATTGTAGGGGAAACTCTAGCCAAACATTTCTCCAGAGCTCAGTTTTATTCTCCCACACCTCACTTCCCTCAGTCCTTTATTCTCAAGCTGAGGTGTCCGCTGAGAAAAGCTGCTCCGCGTCTCCCTGGTCTGCTGGCGGGGGCGCTAGCTTCGCGTCTCCCTGGTCTGCTGGGGGGAAGCAGCTAGTGTGGGGTTGCCTCACCCCGTTTGTAAGTAGGGATCCGATGTAAGTCGGATCCATGTAACCCGGGGACTGCCTGTATTTCAAACCGGAGTTTAACAGTATTTCAGTACCTACTCCAATGGTGACCAGCTTGGTTGGCTGTGACCCTTAGATGCTACCACAATCTGTGTGCTTAATAATATGTGGAACATAGGGGCTAGATAAATATCTTGCTGATCTAAACATCTACAACTTTAAGATACTGTTAAGATAAGAAGAAAAATGGGTCTAACTGTGAAAAATTGAAATTTATACAGATTATATCCATAAGTTCCTATAACACCACATTGAGGTATCCCTTTGACACAACTTATTAAGAATAAAAACCAGCCTGAAAGATTGTTCCGAGATCATACCTGATAGATTTCAGATATGAAACTCGGTTAAAAAAAAAATCTTTACAGCAAGACATCAGTTTCAAAATTAGATTTAAAATATTCTTATAAACACAGTGACATACCATAAATAGAATGGCAGCGGGCCTCTTTTGCTGACACATTATAGTCAACTTATTTGCATATCTGGAACATTGGTACTCAAGCTTCTGGTATGACACAGCTTTCCAAATAAGTCCCATCTTACTGGCTTCCACAAGCCTGACTCTGTCTTTAAAATTAATCCTGCAGCTAGCAGGATTCTAAAGAACCTTATTTGAAGTTTGCCTGCTATAAGCAGATATCAGCAAAGGTTCTACTTTTTCTTTTTTTGAAAATTCAAGAGACTTAATGCAGTTTTTTTTTTATGGCTAGTAACATGCTGTGTAACACTGATGTGCTAATAGCCTTTCACTGGAAGAGGGCACTAGAGTCTGAAAATATTTTTTTTGCAGGCCATTTCACTGTTCCTTCGCAAAAGCATGAACTCCAATTCATTCTTGTTGCTCATATGGAAACAATTTGATGTAGTGTTTCTTTGGAGAAAGCATCATGTGTCATAAAAATTGAAGACGTGAATCTGTCTTTTATCCAGTCAGTCCCTTATTAAATAATTATATTTATACTTAAATTAGTAATTGAATTTGTATTATTTTGCAGAATTAAAATTTTGCAACTAGTTAGCTGCGAACATTTCAATTTTACTTACAATACAATTGGAAGCATTTTAGTACTTTCTGGTGCTATACCAAAAATGAAGCTGAATTTTCTGATTTCCAGAATGCATAATCCAGATTCCATCATGCTGAAAGAGCCTATTCCTGGGGTCAAGAGAAGAGTAACTAGACTTGTACCTACATGCCCTCTGTGCTTAAACATTAACTATTAAGGGTCAGGTTTGGGAGACAGGTGATTTAGTCTTGGTAAATGTGAACCATTAGCGTGAAGCACAAGATTTTCAGAAATGTGGCTCTCCATTGATGACTGTTACAATTGTGTCTTTAAAATTTTGTTCCCTTCAATAGATGCAACTAGGAGACGAGCTTTTGGACTTGTTTCTCAGGCATATACCTCAATAATTGCAGATGATTTTGCAGCCTTTGTTGGACTTCCTGTGGAAGAAGCTGTGAAAGGTAGTTTGCTGTTTTATTTGTTGGATTGTCTTTGAACAGCCCATGTTTGGAGGCTGAGACCAGAATTAAACTGACCAACTGAAGACTCCCATTATTAAATAAAATGGATTTAAGAACGCTTTTTCCTTCCTTACACCAAACAGGAAAAAGGGGCCTCTGTGTTTAGAGAATTCATCACTGTTTGCCTAGCAGATTTTGGTGAAAATGTTTCAAATAAGTTGAAGGAAAACTGGCAATAAAGTTGATCTTTGTGACATTCTAATAGAAGATTTATGCATGTTCCTGATTTTTAACGGAACACGGTTTGACAGCTTGCGTTGGAAGTCTATTCTATAAAAGAAAACCTTTACAAAATTCATAGGGTTTCCATTAATGTAAATCTTTTCTTCTAATTTAAATATTTCAACGCAGTGTTACAATGTAAATATTTCCAACAATTGCTTGAAAATGAGAATCAGAAATGAACACTGATTGGAAGCCCTAATGACATTCCCTGGTCTGTATTTCACTGGATTAAAATAAATGTATGTTAAATAACATTTCAAAAGTATTTCTGTTTTAATAGTCTGTAACACTTGGGGTCCATTTTGCTGAGTAGGTTTCATCCTGCACTGTTCTCTTCCCAATGAGGTCCCACTTCCACTGCTGCTCTTGTAACTCATCTTAAGAGACAGGGTCCTAGAGAAGTACAGCGAAATAAAGTGGGAAGAGGATCCAAAAATAAACATAAGATTGGGTTTATTGTAGAAGGACATGGCCGAGAAGGGAAACAGTAAAAGCAAACTGCTTAATTTTTAGGATTGAAAATGTATTGACTCTCTAGTTCCACCATTTACTAGATTAGGAGCCATAATAAATCTTCCTCCTTTGAAATGGCCAAGGAATTCCATTTTCCTTAGGGGTGTGAGAAGTCTGTGCTCCGAGGGAAAAAAAGAAAGTAAATCTGTGCATCAGCCCGGACTGAATAGTTCCCAGGAGCTATCACTTCTACAAAGGTCATATATTTGCACCACTAAATGTCTCCAGCAGTAAAACTTGTCGTGAGCTCTTCTGAGAAATAATTTTTAAAAAATCATTGCACAGTAGAAGGGTATTCAGACACTTTCCAGTGGGTGGGAATTTTGGATTATTTGTTATTGCTGTCAAACACACGGTATCCTTTCTCCTTCGCTCCTTTCCCCGTAACGGGGCTATCTGTTTTCCTGTAGCTAATCACCTCCTAAATAAACCTAGATGGGGGGAAAAAAAAGTCAATCTAACATGACACTTGCTGTCATCACATTGTTCACTGAGTATGTGTTGTGCCCTATCCCTCGCACTGTGTCTGTATTGTCTAGTTCAACTGTATGCTCTTCAGGGGAGGGACCACGTCTGGGGTGGGTACAGAGCGCATAGCAAATGGAGTCCTGGTAAAAGGCTGGGGCTTTTCAGTGGTGTGGTCATGCATTGTAATAATAGTAATTGTTTCATTCTAATGCACTTTCAGGTGTGTTAGAGCAAGGCTGGCAAGCTGACTCCACCACTCGGATGGTAATGCCTAAAAAGCCAGGTAGGTGGCGCTATTATTCCGTGATGCATTTTGGATCTTGTTTAATATTTCTAGTATTGTATCCTTTGATTTAATTAACATTATGCCTGATATAAGTTGGGTTTGTGTTGTATAACAAGGACATCTTTACTCGAGAGATTAGGGGGAAGGTTGCATGGAGCATACTTTTTGCCAGTGACATTCCGTAAAGATAAATACTAATTGGAAGGAGACCTAGAATGTTGGAGGACTGTATTTGGCATACAAATCAACTGACAAAAGATGCAATATGTGCCGTGCTTTGTTCAAAGAGACAACAAAGAAGCCAGTAAAATTAAAGTCTGAGCAACAGTTGAAATACCTTGGTTCAGTATAGAGCCGTTCTGCAAGTGTAGATGTTAGGAAACATCTTGAATGGTACTTGGCGTAAATGAAGGGAGTTGATGGGAGTTCTCTGCCAAGTAACCTACAGAGCAATGTATAAAATGATTAGGCCAGCCGCGATGCATGGGTCCGAATGCTGGCCACTAAGGGCGAGAGAAGTACTACTGCTTCATGCTGCTTGGGTAAGACCCGAGCTAATATGCTACGTAATGAAATGGTAGATACTATGATGCTGAAAGTCTTCGTTATGGAAAAGTTGAAGGAGTATTGACTGAGATAGCTGGTTCCTGTGGGAAGATGTGGGTTACATGGGCTATTAATTATGGGACAAAGATGACGAGGAAGACCTAGAAAAAGATGGTTCATGATGCTAAAGGAGGGACATGAAAATTGGTGTCTGCTTGGAATAAGCACCTAATGGAGGTGAAGAACGTGCTAGATGACCTCATTTTTTAATCTAATAAGATTACTTACAACTTACTATTTTTAAACAGTGTTTCAAATACATTTCTGTCCTGGTAGACCTAGAGCAGTGGTCCCCAACGCAGTGCCCGTGGGCGCCATGGTGCCCGCCGAGTGACTCAGGGACAGCCCAAGTCATTCTTGTGCCCCGGGCGCGTGGCGCATGCCCGGCCCCTGCCCTGGGCGTGTGGCGCATGCGCGGTGCTGGCCCTGGCGTGCGGCGCCAGCCCCAAGTGCATATTGCATGCACAGCCCCGCCCCTGGGCACATGGCACGTGCACGGCCCCGCCCCTGGACACACAGAGCGTGCACGGCCCCACCCCCGGGTGCCCGGCAGCCCTAAAAGGTTGGGGACCACTGACCTAGAGGTTCTGCTTTCCTGTGCCTTGTGATTAAATTGCTGGAATTTGCGGAGTTGAGCCTGCTGAAAACATCTAGGGGAAGTAGCTGATGTAAGAATTGTCTGAACCCACCATTTCCCAACACATGGAGGATTCCCTGAAAACTGACACAAAGTAGATCATCACTAGTTAGCAGCTCCTCGGTTGCCACCAAAAAGTTGCTGCTGTTCAGCAGTTGCTAATAAGCAGAAGGCAGTGTCGTGTGGCTGCAGCTAGAGAAGGAAGCACTGGGATGCGCCCTCCCTGGCTGTAGCTCTGCAACCGTGCAGGCCAGGTGCTGGGCCTTTCTATGAGGGACTGGGGCCTGTGGAACTGCTCATTACCTCTCCGGGCAGACACTGCTCTTCTAAATGTCTGAAATACTAGTGTTTAAACAGCAGCATGAGGAAGAGGGGTGATCAGATCTGCCAGAATGTATCTTGCTCCCAAAATGTATGCCCACATTTTACAAGTGCAGGAAAACTACTGTCCCAAATGACTCAAGATCTACTCACCAACTAGAGAATGACTTAACGTATTCCAGACAAGACAATGAAACTCGCTTATCCGGGGTGTCTTGATTAACCTGACGCTTGAACAGGCAGATCCTCAATTTCTTCCCCCCCCCCACCACCTGGTGATGTGTACAGCAAAGCTGTTTGCAGCCCGCACAGCCTAGAGCATGTAAAAGTGAGTGCTGGGTGGACCTGGACTTCTGTATGAGAGACATGAAATCGACAGGTGGCCAGTCATTTTCAGTCTGTCATTCACTGGGCATAGGCATTTAAAATGTGCAGATTGTATATTGTGCAATACACACGTCTGTGAAAGAAGAGTGACAGCTTTGTGCCTAAGAATGATAAGGTTTGAGACGATTTTGCCTGAGTGTGTAAGAATTTAATTCTTAGCAAAATGGCTCCCTTCACAGATTAACATTTCCATTGCGTTCTTTCTGTAGGTGCACTGGAAGCTTCCTTTAACAGATTTATTCCTTTATCAGGTATTGCCTCATTTTGATTGTTTTAGAAGGTACAATAGAGAGATGTACACCGTTTGCCTTTCTGAAACGCTTCTGTGCCCTTAACGTTCAATAGCTATCCCCGCCCCACCGTCCAAGAAATGTCAAATGAAGCAATTCACTCATTCACTCAGTCCCTCCCTCCCACAGATAGCTGGGTGAGCGTGAGCACTGTAGCATGCCCAGGAGCCAGTAAAACCCTGGCTAGTTGAGACCAAGTAGAGAGTTGATTCCAAAATAGAAACGCCCTCGGAGAACTGCCAGTTCCCTCTCTTAAACTGTGAAGGATCCAACTCCAGCATCTCAGCTGTGCTTGTCTTAAGGAGAGTTACCTCTCAAGTAGGCATGTCTCAAATGTGGAATTGGCTTTATAGCCTTTGTCATGCAAAAAATGTCGTGTCTTCGGTTTTCCTTCAGATGAAAAATGTGAAGTGGATCTTTGGCTTCCACCTCTTGTTTTATTTTTTTAAAATTAAACTGAAGGCTTCATTATAGATTAAACTGTATCGTTTTTATTGGAGAGGCTGGCACCTAAAGCTCTGTTCTCCATATTGCACAACCAAGTATCCTTAGAATAAATCTGATTTGATAGTTTAACTCGTGCATTATACAATGTCTAAGCGAACTTAAATGTACTGTCGGTGTAGCTTTCCTAGTCAGTGTGAAGTCTCTCTCCCTTTCTGCAAGCATGCTTTTTAAAGGATAGCCTTCTGGTTTCCCTTACCTGGAAGTGGCGCTTCATGTACTTGGGGCGGAGGATTCCTTTTGTACATGCAGGCGAGGTGACTAGCTCCCCAGTGTACCTTTACACTCAGACATTTCAGAAGGAATTACTTCTATATAACACATTGTTTCTCTGCCTTTCTTTCATTTTGACTCTGTGGTCTGTTTTCCTTTCTTCACCCTGCACTCTTTTCCATTTCTCCTAATTATCTATTATTCTTGACAGCCCTTTCTTTATTCTCACTCTGCTCTCCTTCTTGTACCCCTGCGTTTCATTTTCTATCTTCCTTCCATTTTCAGTCACTCTCCCCTCTAACTTGCACTTCACCCTTACTACTGGGTAACTCAGAATACTTGTAGTTTGCACATGTACTGTGGCTGCTTTCTCTTGACAGCCATACAGTGCTTTTCCCACGTTACCGTAAAGAGAGGTGACTCATCAGGTGTGCTCACTGTTGCTGCTTCCAGAGCCTCATGCTGCTCTTTTATAGTTACTGCGGCTCTCAGAGCCCCCATTCCACCCCATTCTTCGCTTTCCAGACTTAGGTGGAGGAAGCTCTACCCCGTGTCAGAGTAGTGGGGTTCGGGATTTTTGCCCTGTGGGAAGGAGAGTCTCAGGCCCCCTGCTCTGCAGCATGTGCCTTCCCCGACCCAGGGCTGAAGCCCCGAGCTCTCACCCAGTTCTCAAACTTCTGAAGTTTATCGTACAGAGGGTCAGTAGTTTTGTTGTAGAGGGAGGCAGAATGCAAGCAGACCTATAGGACCTTTACTGCAGGTGAAGACGCTGCAGGAGTTCTTCCCTTCCCAGTTGTAGCAAACATACACGACATGCTGGAAATGTGGCAGTCCTCAAATATATGCAAATAACACTTGACAAGTGAGGCAGTCTAGAAGTAGCAATAGAGGTATCCTAGCTGATTGTAAGTTTTGTTGCAGATAGGAGTGAGTTACTTGGTACGTCTCACACCCTCCCCCCACAGCACAGCACAAGACTCTTTAGCTGTATCGTTAGTGGGAGTGTCATTTGGTGTAGAGCTGATAAGTAAACAGTCTGAGAAATTTAGTTCACATTTGTCTTTAGTGTCAAGAGAGCAGGGATGGGTGGTGCTGGACTGTGGTTTGCCACCTTAATGTTATTAATACTGTGTGTGTTTCTGTTCTTTGTAGAACCTGCTACAGTTCCACCGATTCCTAATGAACAACAGTTGGCCAGATTGACTGATTATGTGGCTTTTCTTGAAAATTAATGACCCAGTCCTGTGTTCAAGACAGAACCTGGAAACCCTGTGTACTGGCAGTTCTACGTCTAAAATTTACTTTTCTCCTGTTTGTTAAATGTTGCGGCTTCCCCCTCCTGGAATATGTTGATAAGATATACATAGCATATATTTTGTTCCTTTATACGTGTTTTGCTAAAGCAAAGTCAGTAGGTGAAACAATCCTTAACTCCCATAATATTTATCCATTAGGTACACAGCAGTATTACACGTTAAGTTTTATTCTCTTACAATTCGAAGTGAAAAAGGGCATATCTCCATAGACTATTGCAAAGCAGTAAACAGAAGGTAAGCAAAGAGTTTCCATCAGCAAAACAGATGAATGTACTCACTTTGTACTGGTTGGCTTTGATGCTTCCATTGCCGGCAATGGAATACGTACCAGAAAATCAGTCACAAATGGATTCAGCATAAAGAGGGGAAAGTTATTCCACCTGCATCTGTAAAAGGAAAGCCTTGAGAAGTACAATACATAGATAGTTGTGAGCCATACGTAACATACACAGGGAATGTTAAGTTACAGTGACTCTCTTGCAAGATTCCTTCCACTTCTGGTGAGACTTTTATAACTGATCACTCTTCTAACCCATTGCTTCTCTGTTTTCGAGTTGTCTTATTTCCCCTGTGACTAGTGTTGAGTGTTCTGTGCAAACTGTTTCTAGGCTGGTGTACTTATGATTTTTTTACTGCAGAGTAATATTTTTAATATACCTGGGGCACCTAGAGATTACACGTCTAAAAGTTGTTTTTCTTGGCGAGGGAGGCAAATGCTCACTTCACTTGCTGTGAGAGAGCGTTTGGTTTTGAAAGGCTTGATTTTTGAAAAGCAGCCATTCTTGGGGCACTCAGACCAATATTTTGCCTTGTAACTTGTTAGAAATTTATGCCAACGTTCTGAATACCACCCTAAATCAGAGATCTGCTGAGGATGGCTTCACCAAAAGCAGCTTTTTGCTTGCCTCTTTAGTTTTATGGATGACTATTGTCATTGGAAAGGATTTTAAAAAATGGTCTTCCTTTTGAATAAAAAAATCTGGAAGATGGAATAGAATATGCTGCAACATCAGTTCAAGTAGTATACACCCTATATGCCTGGCTGTATACAGCTAGTAGCACTGCTCTGTTAATTTCTGAATTCAGAATTAACTTTAGCATTGGAAAGGAAACCGCTTACAATCCCTTGCCTCTGATCCTAATGTTTAAAAATGGAAACGGCAAATAGTAGTGCTTTGAGGCCAGCGCATGCCTTTACCGTCTCTCCCTTTCATTTGGTTGTCGCCAACATGTTCAGTGGTTTGTCACTTGAAGATAGCAGGTGCCTGTTATTTGCAGTGGCATTCTCCCAGGGTGTGCTACCTACTGTACATTCTTTAGTTTTGGGTCTGAGGGGAAGGGGTTCTAAACTGTGCACTGTTGCTTTTAGATCCCCTTTGACATGTAACCATTTACTTGCAAAAGATTATTTATTTGAAGCCCATCCAAGTCTTGGATCTCTATAAATATTGATGCAAATATAATTTCCGTAATATTAAAACCTGTTTACACTACACTTGAGTGCCTTATTTGAGTCCCTTCTTTGGAGCATGCATGTTCCAATCTGATGGGCTATGGAGGTTTGGGGTAGTCGGTCGAACTGGGACGCTTGAATGGGCAAGCTGTACGAAGGTTAGTATAGCGCTTTATGCTTATACAGTTAGTTAATGGAGTAAGTGTCCTTTGTACATTCCCACTCATAAGATGCACTGACAGGTGCAGCCTTGAAAGGTAAAATTCTAGCTAGCAACAGCTTTTGGAGCACTGACTCTTCGTCGTTCCCCCATCCTTCAGTAAACGTTGGGTATTGCGGGCAAGGGAATTAAAGGGTGTGGCTCTCCAATAGGGATGTGAATGGGTAAACTGTTACCCGGTTAAGCGTCACCCAGCACAACAGGCTGGTTAACCAGTTAAACATACGGTTTACTCTTTTTCATAAAGATAAGCTAGTTCCTCATACAACTCAAAGTTTTTGACCCAATACGGTCAGACACCCTATACTCATGAGGATGAAGTTATGTAACCTACTCTGGGTGTTTAGGCCAGAATAAATCACAATCCCAACTGTTGTTTATTGCTGATGAGCACGAGAACCAGGGGAAAGCTGTTTGTGTACAAACTCTTTCAAGCTAGGATGGATTTGTATTCATGTAGTTTATGAATTGGAAGGGTTGTCCCATTCCCCAGGGGGTTAGAACACATTCTACTAGGCTGAGAGCAGCTTTTGTGGCTAAGTGTAAGGCAGCAACAAGGAATCACGAAAGAATCTAGATTTGATGCAAGATTTACCTAAGCCATTCTGCCGTCCCTACTGAATTAGAATCTGTGGTCTGACCATCCCAGGTGAGACTGCTACTTTTTACTCTATCCCAGGAGTGGGGATATGCATGGGACTTTGGAAGGCAAAATGAATGTTACCTGTAACCGAGGTTCTCTGAGATGAACTCTGCATATTCACACACTCTTGAGTCCTACTTACCAGCAGTGTTTTAGGTCTAGTAGTAAGGAGCTGATGTGGGTGGCACACCAGGCCATTTTATCCCCTTGTCCTGGAAAGCTCAAAAGTTATCTGAAGGGAGTGGGCAGGAAGGCAGGTATGTGAGCATGTCAGTGGTGACTGCTTGCTAGGCTGCAGTGTTTCAGGTCAGAGCATCCCAGGAGTGTGAGTATGCAGAATTTGAAGAAACTTGGTTACAAGTAAGTAATCTTCATTAGTTTTATACAGAGACAGTAGGAGTTTAAATCACAGAAGGATTGAAAGGGACTTCAACTTGGTCCAGTCCCCTGCTCTGAGGACTGACTATCATCTGAAAATTCCTGACAGGTTTTTGTCTAACTTGCTGTTCGAAACCTCCAGCGACAGAGATTCTGCAGCCCCCCTAGGTAATTTATTTTACTGCTTAATGACCCTGACAAGAATTTCTTCATAATGTGTAACCTAAATCTTCCTGGTTGTGATTTAAGCCCATTGTTTCTTGTCCTCAGAGGATAAGAACGGCAATTTATTATCTTCCTCTCTGAGACAAACTTCATACTTGAATGTAGAATTGTAGCTGTGCCAGCCTCAAGATACTAAAGACACAAGGTAGGTGAAGTAATACCTTTTAATGGGCCAACTTTTGTTGCAGAGAGAGAGGGAAGCTTTCAAGCTTAAGCAGAGATCTTCTTCAGGTCATTCTTGCAGACTTATGGTTATCATATCACAGCCTCAGGCCAAACAAACCCAGGTTTTTCAGCCTTCCCTTGTGAGTCCTGTTTTCTAGATGTTCAGTCACTTTTGTTGCATTCTACTGGTATTTCTCCAATTCACCTCTTTCCTGACGTGTGGTGCCCAGAACTGGACATAACAATCCCATTCCAGGAACAATGCCCTGATAGCATCGCCCTGACAGCTGTGGGTGGTCTTGAGGATCTGCTGTCCAAACAGTGCTGCCCTGGCTCTGAGCAATGCTAGGTAAGGCTTCTAGTTGAGTATATAACACAGTGAAATATCGTTAATATAAGTTTAATCACTCGAACATTCCTAAAGTCAGAATCAACTTGGGAAAATCTTTTTCTGTTGGCTACTTATTCTCCCAGAGGCGACCAATGCCCAGAAGGGCAGGGAGGGGATAGGCAGGGACACCCCATTTAGCAATTCAAATTTTGATGGCACAGAGGGGCACCCAAGTGCTACCACGAGCCACCTCTGCATTCTTCTGTCTTTAAGAGATTGAGTTGGGGTAATATTCTCCTTGGTTCAGAAGATGGAGATACGGGGCAAGAAAAGTGAGAAGCTTGGCAGCATAGCAGGCCGGTCTCCTAAGGGCTGGATAATGAAGAGAGTACAAAACGGAGGCTAGTTGCTGTTGAATGGGAGCACTAGGGCTGTTCCCTTGAACTGAGTATCTCTTCACAAACTGCACTTTACATGTCTCCAGCGCTCATGTTAGTCCAGCACAGCTTTGTTTCCCTCTTCAAAACAAAACTCCGTTCTGGTGAACTGCTTAGACAAATGAATTCTTTCCGACAGTGTAATCTGCTGCTACTTCAATGCCTCCCTCGACAGCTTTAGATGCACTTAACCCTGTGCTTTCGGCTCTGCGTCGAGACGAGGACAAATAACATTGGCTAATTGTATTTGTTGTTTAATCGAAGGGGGAAATGTGAGGGCTGGAGTCCCTCCAAACAAAGCATTTTCTCTGCAGATCTCAGAGCTGGAACTCTGAAGTGGGAGGGTTTTTGGATTAAGAAACCATGAAGAATGTGGCTGGGAACAGGGAGAGACTTGCAGGATTTAAAAATAAAATAATTCCATTTGAGGTTGTTTTCCATTTCTTTGTCCACATCCCACATGCTATTAAACGTATGGGGTTTTCTGCACAGTATGGACCATGTCACAAGCCATTTCTCTGCAGCTCTGACCTCCTTGGTGCAAGCATTGCCTTCAGGTGGTGGGACTAGAAAAGATGGGTGGGAACAGAAAAGGTTTGTCCTTTAGAACTTACACGAGGGCTAGATTTGGCCCAACATATCTAATGTTATAAATCCAGGCACTAAGGGATCTGTCAGGTCCTCTCAGCTATGAAAGAGAGAGACAAATATTAATGTACAAATCCGGATCTAAACTTCTCCAGTGGTCGTAGTGTATTGATCTATCAGTTTGGTCAGGTTCATCTCTTAAATGTTACATATAATATAGCTAGGCCTGGGGTGGGGCGGGGCAGGGGGTAGAAGGGTGCAGTTGCTCCATAGCCTGCCAATTCAAAAGGACCTGGGTTTCCTGGCTGCAGTTGTAGACCCAGGCCCTTTAAATCAGTACTAGTGTGCTGCGTGGTGCTCTCTAGGCAGTGCTATGGGCTGGCTGGAGGGAAGGCAGCCCTGAGGGGTGGCTGCCCCAGCCTTCCCTCTTCTGCCCACAGCTCCACCCCTTCTAGGAGTGCGGAGTTGGCCCTCCTCACGTTGCCCAGGGACCCAGCAAGACCGTAGGCCCCCCGTGCATAAAGGAGAACTTGCTCTGAGTAGCAGATATGTATCATTCTGGAACAGGCAAGGATCGTAGATAAGAACCGAAGGCCACGATAGTTGCCAATGAAAGCTTCCTTGGAAATGAACGCCAGCACCAGAGCGGTCTCTCCCCCATGTGAGCATCGGAAACGCTCCCTTGAGTGTAAAGAAATTCGAAAGTGATCTGGACTAACGTCTGTGTTATATAACGTAAAAGGAAGCGCTCAAGCACAGCTTAGCGTTAGTCAAAAGGTGGCTAACCGGGAGCAAGCCAGGGCCAAGCCACGCACTACATGCGAGTCTGAAGGGGGCCTCGTGCTTTTGGAATCCCATTCAACTTCTGTGAGCAGTAGCGCAGCAGAATGGTCAAAGGCTAGCCGGAGAGGAGAGGAGACCCTACACCTAGGCAACTAGCCAGACAAACTCAATACTTGTGCCATGGGCGCTTATCTGGGGAGTGCAGCAGGAAGGTGATGATTTGCCCGTCAGCAGAAAACAGCCAATTGTCCAGGAATCTTTTGTAGGAAGGTGGGCAGGAGGTGCAGATGTACCAACAAAGGAGCAGTGGAGCCGCATGTAGTAGGGTAGGGAGGAACCTTTCCCAGCTTGTGATTTATTGGTGAGTACATCTGCCTGCAGCTGGGGAAGGGACACATCAGTATTGAGGGGGAGCGGCATCCACAGGTTACCCCATCTCAGTAATAATCACTCTCAAACCTAGCTTAGGCTACAGGCAAGAAGAGTAAGGATTCCACACGTTATTTTCCCCAGGGGTAGCGCCACAAAACCATCCATGGTTAGCCATCGCATCAGCCTACAATAATACTCATCTCGCGCTACGGACAAACTAGCACTCGGCTCAATTTTTCGTGCCGTTCTGACATGTTCTAAGTTACGCTGTGTTCACATTTACCAGGTATCAGACCTGGAAACCTTTTCTTCTTCTCACAGTAAACAACATACAAGCTTTCTCCCGGGACTAGCTTCTGAAAGCAAGACTAGAAAATCATTTCATTTGTTTTTGTTACAGTTCAGTGTATTTCATGGTCTGACAGCGTCCCAAGGAATGGAACCAGTAAGTACAAACACATGTTCTGCCCAGTTGCGTGAAACTGCCTAAATATAGCGGTCTGAGTTCGTTGTTCCCTTCGACACCATCCATCTCAGCTCCTAACGGGGCTTAGCACCTCTACCGCTGTTCATTCACCCCAGACTCGTGATGAGCCAAATGTTTTTGTAGGCTGAATTGGGTACGTTAGGAAATGGCATGATCAGGCTTCTAGAATCATTAGCCCAGCTGATTTTCAGAGCTTCTTTGGAATTTATGTTGGGTGCACATGAGGTCTTCCGCTCTTTGCAGAATCCTTTGTGTGCAGTTGCAGGTACATCCGATCACCAGCAAGTCTAAAACCCAAGGGATTTGTAACTGCTATCACATCCATTCACAGTTGAAATGTAAGAGCTGTGAAACTGCTTCCGTAATTGGAGAGGTTGCTGGTTGGCCTTGACAACTAAATCTACTGTAAATAT